TCAAGGTCTTTCAACCACTTCACATGATAAAAATATTGACATTTTGGTACATAAATCACATTCCTTTACTATTAATTTTTAAGAGCTAATTTCGAAAAATTAAATTCTTTTCATCATTCGTGTGTGTAACAGTAAAGTGGTTGTGTCCTCTGAGCTGATTGATTAAACCCAGTCATCTCTAGGTTGTTAAAATAAGTTCAGGTACATATTTGTGTATGGCAATTAGTCGTATCTTGCATGCGCATTTATTCTTATTTATCGCCTGTCAGCTGAATGTACCCATCGTTTCGAACGTCAAACCACTATCCGATAGACTACGAAGTACGCATAGCTAAATCTTACTTTAAAACAGATGATGACGCCATCTAAGGAACCAAGGTGTACTGAGTAGTAATTACATCAGAATTTAGGATCTGTAAGATATGCATAATCTCAGTTACAAACTTGATCAAGCCTAGGGTCTTTAACTTCAACAGGATCTCAGGACATAGTCCAGTCACTGATGTCTATGAGTAGTCATTTGTAATTTTGATTTGACTGACTGCATATTTCACTGGTTTCCTGCTCTACAATAACTTCTTTTCAGTGATATACTGTCATACGTGATTTATTGTTACCACTATCATGGAAGTTATAGTAGCAAAATTTATGCTCAAATAAAACCAAAATTACGTAGACTTTAAAATTATTTCAAATTGCTTAATACATGTATTTTGTTCACTATAAATTATTTAAATTAATCCCAGTGTGTTAAGAAAACCAAAACAAGATTTTTGCTGAAGAAGCTGTGGCTTACATGGCGAAACGTTCAGAAAAATTTTGTTTTGATTTTCTTAACACGCTGGGATTAATTTAAATAATTTATAATGAATCAATCTGACTCGGCGCTCATATTATTCCACGAAATTCGTAACATGTATTTTGTGTTAAACTGTACGTAGACGTAGTCAGTTATAGGAAATTGCAAAGAAAACTACTGCTCATTGATTTTCTGTTTGCAAGACCTAACATGTTTCCCTTCACTTTAAGTGCTTGTACTGTCCTGATCAAAATAGATTCACTGATTCATGAACCTTCAAAACAGATACAACCCCTTTTATACGAGAGATGATGATGATGATTGAAAGCCAGATCAGGTGAGCTGACTCCCTACATTTTGTTTCTAAATTTTATCCTTCAGAAAAGAATTCACTTTATTGATGCCCTTGGATTGATCCATTAGAAATACACCTGTTCCCTTATCTGGATAACATCGTATTTCTTTTTTTTTCGGCTCATACTAAGTTTGTCACTAATAATTAATCAGTATCCTTTTCGTTGAGGAGCACCTTTTGTATTGCCAACAGCTAACAGTCAACTTAGTTTTTTACTACTGGTGTATGACAGCAGTCGACCACATTTTTTTAAATTCTGAACGGTCAGATAACCTCCCTTGTCTTTTTTTAATCTATCACATTTAAAACAAAACATTCAGCTAAGAAAATTATCTTTTCGACGATTTCATTTCCATAGCTGTACAACCATATATATATCATCATCATCATCATCACTCACTGGGGTACGCAAGCACTTTCAGTTAACAAGTCAAAAATAGGAAGAAATGCGCATCCTGGATTCCACTGCTAGTCACAATCCACCAATTAAACAATCAGTTCTCTTGTGTGTGTGTGTGTGTGTGTGTGTGTGTTAAAGTTTTACAGTAAGTGGAAACAATTAATTGCGATAATATTGGTGTATAGGATTATGAGTCACAAGTGATTAGAAATATGAATGAATAAATAAATAAATTGAGGTCAACCTAAAGTTCAATAAACATGCGTAAAATAGATGATCGGAAAATAAAGTACATTCGGTAATGTGGATATAATTATGATGGAAATATGGGATGAGTGAAATGCTGTTAAAGTAGTAGACTGGAATATGATAACATAAAGCAAAATGAAATAAAACAAAATAAAGAAAGATAACTAAGTTTAATTTGATAAAGCTATTAGCATTAAATAGCGAAACGTCAGTAAAAACAATCCTCCATACAATCAAACAAAATCCTTACAAAACCAATACTTGAAAATTAATCTGATGCCCACTAGCGACTGGCCCTATTCAGGCAGCTAACCTGGGGTTCTAGTGAGAAGTCGTGACCAGTAGGGTACAGCAGGTCGATGATGGGGCAGTAACTCATCGAAGAAGACATTGCGAAGTGGTCGCGCTATGTCGTGAATTGGCTGGTAGAAGTTAGAATTCAAGAACCATTGGATCGGGTCCCAGTGGCTCAATGATCTACGAGCTCGCCTTGTAACCAGAAGGTCCTGGGTTCGAACCCTAGCGGTGGGTGCGTACTGATGAAGAGTCCCAGACTAGGACAAAACAGTTATCCAGTACTCCCAGGTTTTCCAATGGTTCTCTAACTAATGTCAGCTCATGGTGAAATCCTCCATACAATCAAACATAACAAAGTTTAATTTGATAAAACTATCAGCATTAAATAGCGAAACATCATTCATTCGGAAATACAAAAACCTTTATTATAATAAAAGTGTAATTGAATTTTAGATTTTCCCATCAACTGATTGGACCGAAGTGCTCCGTCTAAGGTTGACATGTCGGCTTCTTGTGCGGATGCTCCGACGATGTCTGAGCATTTAATTAGAATTTAATTGGTGGATGGAGACTAGCAATCTATGGGAAAATCTAAAATTCAATCAAATTAATTTGCCCCGTTGCACAAGTGGTCTAGTGGATAACGCTTTGGCGTTTGAAACTATAAGCACTGAGTTCGAGCCTCTGTGGGAACATCATCACTCACTGAGAAATGCATGTATATCCGGTGACGAGTCCCAAATAAGACGAAATGCTCATTCTGTCACCACCCACTAATTAAATTCTAAAGATAACAAAGTTGTTACGTGAATTACTTAGTAAAATCAAGACTATGATAACGAAAGTGATTGTACAAATTGTTTTTGCACACAAAGTTCCGGCTTTATGTTACGTATTGCCAAAGCCTCTGCTATACAAAACAAGTGCACTCGTGTTCCTTTCGGCAAACTTAGTCGGACTTTGCAGACTATCACATTTGTGTCAGATAAATTTTATCTTCGACGACAGAACAATACTAGCAAAACCCGCATGCATGCATGTTAAAATATGCCTTTAGTTATTTTTTACAACCAACACAAAAATGATGCCATCACCAATAGACAGATATTTGCCAAAGAAAATCCTCTCTCTTCACTTCTATTCTCCTGCGGACACGTAATTGGTGAATTAAGACACATATTATTTATCTTCCCTTTATTTAGTCTGTCTGACTTCATACAAAAATGAATCATGAATGAGTGAGTGCCCAGCCTATCCTGCACTAAATTAGTAGAGGGTAAGAAAAACGGTGTGTAGTGTATCACATTATCATGGCAGTTGATAAAACAAGGTTTTTCAAGGCTACATATTCACAAATGAAAAGTTAACTACAACCGAATGATATTTGAAAGGTGGTGGTCTCCATGATGCATATTTTTGCTATTTCTGGCTCGTCAGTTGGATGCATCGGTATTCCAATAAGTAATATTTTCTCAACTAAGACTCGAACCCAGCCCCTATCGTTTTGGTGGTCAGAATTGAAGTTGAGAATTATTTTGTTTCCTTCACGTTCCCAGTGGAACATAGGGCTTCAAGCTAGTGGCTTGAAGTTTCTGTAGCAGTGGTGATTATTTTCACAGGATGGGTTTGCTAGCCTCACGACCAAGCCTTCCTCTTTACCAGCATTATTTCTCGCTTAGCGAGGTAAAGGAGTGAGTCGGTGGCCGGGGATCGAACCCCGGACCACGTGCATGGTTGGTGAGCGTCCTAACCGCTGTGCGCACTGAGAATTATTTAGCAACGTATTATTACTCTTGATATATGTGTATGCTAGAAATTTCCCTGTGGTCATCTTAGCAGAAAAGTTGCCAACTTACTTTCCACCGATGTAAACAGTATGTACCATTAATGGATATAATGGAGTTTACTCCGTCGAAGTGTGCGCCTCTAAAGAAAGTAAAACCTTGTGCAATAGCAAGAATTTAGACTTCATCTCTTTCATCAACGATCATAATCTGTCTATTAGGATTTCACTAGCCAGGACAGGTATGGATTGCTTTTTTTTAATTTTTATTCAAACTACTACAACATGCAGTTAAGCAGTTGTAGAATGGAAAAGAAGGAAGACGCAAGAACTAAGACACTCAGCCGTCCTGAAAACCTGGATTTCTCTAATGTTGCTATTTATACTTTCAATAAGATGCTAGGAGTGTTAAATTTATTTCAAGTAGCTAATTGTTGAATACACAATGAGTTCAGGTCTCTAGAACATGCAAATCCCAAGCATCTACCTCTTGTACATGGTCCACTGTCTAGATATGAGAAGAGAAAATACTATACACTGCCAGCTGTAAGACGAGACTAAGAATTTTCTGCAAAAAGATACTAGCAGATTTTATACAATTAACTTAAATTATGATTCGCGTTCTTTGTTGGCTGCTAGACCATTGTGTCAGTTAAAAATGTTACACTGAAGTCACGTTACAAGTTAACCTTTCTTAAAAGTACGGACCAACTAAATAGAATGCAGCAATCTATAGCAGACTATAACAGGGGGGATAAAAAGTTGAAGGATCAGATAAATATAGTCGTAAAATGTGTAATGAACTGTACAACTGATTAGGCGAATTACTCGTTTTCATAAGTTCCATAGTGAATTCATTTGGATGCCGTTTATGGAACTAAAATGCATTGACCGAAACCTATTCACTTCGCATTTAGAAGCATATCCTTGCAAGACTGCTGAAGTTTTTTCTTATATGCTGAGAAATTATATGATCTATAATACATGGGTATCTTCAAGAGGACTTTTAAGTTTTGTTTTTAACAGGTAAGGAAATAATGCAGTTTTCAAATATTCAGTGTTACGAGCGGTGAATTTATTCATCAGGATTGTTTCAGAAAAATTAAGGCAAAAAAATTAAGAACACTAGATGATACACGCAAGCCAAAAGAGTACGAGGCTAGAAACAATATGAAGATTCAGCCATATCACAGCTATCTTGTTATTGTAGTTATTTGGTTGGCTCTTGGGGTGAGAGAAAAGAATATGGTAGGCGTAGGCGATTTGTCACGTGATCTATTTACTGATTGGTTTAAATTCGTAACTAGCATCAGGTGAACAAAATTCATGCTTTGTTACAGACTGTTAGCTTATTGTGTCTTTCAAGCACTGTTTAGTGTAGTCAGACCGGGTTGGCCAATAGTAGATGACGCATCAGGTAGGCGTTAAAATGAGCTTTAGAGACAGACTAGTATTATTGTGAGGTTTTAGAAAATACATAGTCGTGCTGCCAACGTAATTCTACAAACGCATGTGACGGAGTTTTTGGATTACCCTCAACTAATGTCTGCTTACGATCCATTTAGTGCTCATAATGGAGCTATCCATGCTTTTAATGGAACTGAGACCATTAGCCGAATGGTTGTTGATGGGAATTACATTGATGGATCATGGGAATTATCTGTTTTTGTTGAAGACTTGGGTTCTAATGTTTCAGTACGAGTATTAGGCGACCTACCTCTTGGTGGTTTAATGCATAGGATTGTTGAAAAAGTCAAGTTACAACAAAGTTGGTCAGATCATGCTATTTGGTGGATTGATAGAAATATTTGGCTTCTTCATAGCCGTACAACTCTGGATCAATACGGAATTCAGTCAGATGCCAAATTAATGTTTCGTCGTATGCACAATGATCTGCAAATTGTTTTACCTTCCTTAACTTCTCTTGTACTACGTGTCAATTATGCTTCCAGATTATTCACTGTAGTCCGTGATATATGTAAAGAATTAAACATCCGGCATTCGGAAGAATTATCGTTAACATTACCTATTACCAAAAATATGCTCAAAACAAATTGTCCATTACCAACTATTCGTCCAGGATTAAGACGTCCAGGTACAAACTTACCCAATTCAAGAAATGATCAGTCATCTGCAAAGTCTAAAGTCCATTCTCCTCCATCATCAGTTTATCCAACAATGGATGGACAACAGATGAATCCATATAACACTTTAGCTTCGAATGCCGGTACAATGATGCGATTTAAATCCGATAATTCCTTGGACCAAGAACGTCTAGATTTCGCTCGTTATGCTGATTGTTCACTAAGACGTTCTGCCAAAGCAGTGTTCGCTGATAACTGGTTGATGAAGCCCAAGAATTTAGTTCAAAAAGCACGCCTAAATAGTGGATGGTTAGATTCGTCAAGATCACTTTTGGAACAGGGAATTAAACCGTCGCCGGTAGACTCTGATGGCCAAGAACAGTGTAGCCCACCAACTTTGTACCTCTGTTTCAAATATTATACATTTTACGATCTTATTTTAAAGTATGACTCGGTAAGAATTCACCAGCTTTATGAACAAGCTCGATGGTCTCTTTTGTCTGGTCAGTTTGATTGTACAGAAGATGAGATGGTTGTTTTTGCTGCATATCAGCTGCAAGCTGAATTACAGTCCGCTGCTGTCAATCAGGCTTTATGCACTGCTAATTTCCCTGATATCAATAATACAAATCCTTATTCAACTCTGGGTGTCTGCAGCACAGTAAGTTCCAATTATATAAATCGCAGTCCTGTGCATGCAACTTCAAGTCCTGACTTGGCAAAGAAACATTATTCCCCTTACTATGGTCCTGCAACAGGAACACTACCACAGTTTCTCCGGACTTCTGTATCACCAATGGGTTCAACTTTTGCAGATGGAGCATCAATTAATGCACATAATATGAGTGGTGTAGACGAAGTAGATGAACTCCTTTCAGAATTAGAACAATCATGTGGTGTTACAGAAGAGTCGGAACCAGTATCACGTGCTTTCCAGAATGCAATACGTCCAGCTAGCCGTGACATGACGGACACCTCTGAAGTGCCGAGTCTTGAGGGTGCAATCAAAGTGTTCAGAGATCGTTCTTTACTCTTAAAACGTTACAAGGCGTACTGGGTTGTGATCAAAGAAGCTCGATTGTATTTGTACAGAAATAAAACACAAACACAGGAGTTTTTGGCTGAGTATTCACTACGTGACTGTACAGTTAATCCTGATGTGAATGTTGCTCATCAGAAATACATTATCAAGTTATCAGTCTTTCCAATGTTGGATCAAAAGTTGACTAATGGATCTCCAATTAATAGTCCATTGCAACAGTCAACACTTCCTAAAGAACTCTGTTCTCTACGTGAAGAAATATGGTTGAAATTTGACTCTGCTGAACAATATGCCTGTTGGCTGGCTGCATGCCGTTTGGGTTCACGGGGAAAAACACTAGCCAGCAAGTTGGTCTATAATAAAGAGGTTGAGGCCACATTGGAACTTTTAAAACTTCAGATGCCTGGGCCATCACCAGCTATGTCACTTTCTGAATCTTCAGCTTATTTAGGTGATTTAACAGATTTCTGCAACGACCGTATTATTCGGAAGGCACGTTCTAAAGATGCTTTACGACAGCGTATTACTGAAGCTCATGTAAACATTCGTGATCTTGGTCTACTGGAAGCTAAACACAAGTATGTCCAAACATGGCAAAGGTTGACAGGATTTGGTCGAAGTTATTTCATTGTACAATTTGAACGTGGATCATTAGGGCTGCCAAATGCAAATAGCGGAGGATTATTTAGTACGCCAATGGATGATATGATTGCTATTTGTCAGGGCCGTATTGAAGTCGTCTCTCCACAGACAGGTGAAATTTTGTTGACATGGAATTTTGCTGATTTACGTTCATGGAATGTTAATTGGGACGCAGAAAAAGTAATCCTAGAATTTCGTAATTCACAAGTTTCATTTCGACCACTATCAACAAATTGTAAAACAATTGTAGAATTTATCGGTGGTTATGTATTTCTTAGTCAGCGGAATTTAGAAAAGAGTCAAGAAGTTAATGAACGCTTATTTCATCGTTTGACTGGTGCAAGCGAATAATTTTCTTATATATATGTCCTCTTATGCAGTTTGTCACTCCCAGTTATCAGGCAAAAACAAAACCAGATCTATAATTTGATGATAAAGCCTACGCCTGCAGTACTAATGTTTCACTTCTGCGCATATTCAAAGGAATGGAATTACATCTTATTGAAAAAGGTACTTATTTTTTAAAATTAATTCTACAGTAGGCTAATAACCTATTCCTATTATTGTTATTATTATTATTACAAGTATTACCTGCTACTGTCCTGTTTAAGATTGTTGGTCGCTTTTTTGTTTTGCTTCCGTTATTGGCTAACTGATATATTTACTATGGTTGTTTTAATTTTTTTACAACAGTTTTAATCAGTAAGCGGAGCGCGCAATTCACATTCTTGACTTAATTTTCCAATGTTTTTAGCTTACTTCTTTCTGTATAACATGATGACATATATATTGTGAATGGCATATTGAACTATTTGGAATATGAACAGTAATATATATATATATATATATTAAATATATTATTCCATTGTCTTTCAGATTAAGCTTTACAAAATTTTCTGTAACCTAAAATTTCGCCTTATTGATTTTTATGAGTGAATCATTTTGTGTGTTTTTAAATGTTCATATTATTAGAGATATGTGTTGCTTATGATCTCTCTCGTCAGCTAATAGTTCCAAATGTCTTATTTTCATTAAAATTTCATTTCAATACAGTTTCCTACTTATTGAGAAGACGTTTAAGATGCAGAACTAACGGTTCTACTATAGGAGGGTATTTAAAATTAATTGTTGCTTGTTTTTTTTTGGAATTTCTAGTTGACAAAATTTTACAGTTTTTTTTCTGCTTAATAATGTTAGAAATTATCGATTGATTTCCTGTTCTAAGAAATTAGCATTTGGAGTGATGTTACTTTGATTTTTTATGATGTCATATATATCACAGCCTACGATGTAATTTGTGCCCTTATTCTGTAATCACCATGGTTTTTGGACTGCTTCCAAGTAAAAAAAAACAATACAAAAGAGTGTAACTGTGTTCATTTTTGTTGCGTAATCTGTCTCAGGCAAGCGTTAATGTCGTAGTGATTCCACGCGTATTCAATTAATTCATTTTATCAGAGTTAAGATACTTAAAGGAAAAAGTTGAATCGTTAGGTTTGTCTTGCGATTATATGTGCAAATAAGTATTAGGAATAACTTTCTGAGTTATTCGTTTTTTCTTCAAAAGTAGATGGTGTCAAAATAGCAAATATTTATCGGTCAGTCGCTTTGGTTAATGAACAGTTGTACAATCCAGACGTCTTTTCGTATTGAACTGGTAACTGGGAGCGTACGTGTTTCAAATCTGATATCCATGCCTACGTAAATTTTCTCGGAATTATTACGTTTAATTAAATTTATTTAAAATTACATCAGTGAACATATGAGCCGTATTGATTGTCGATTCAGGTGTGTCTGAGTAGTATCTGTTTTGTACCCAGTACATACGTTGTTCACCGGTAAAATGTTTAATGTGATTTATCGGCATGCAAACTTGCCTAGAATCTGCCAATAGAAACATGCTTTATTTTTCAGTACGTGTTAACTATTATATATAGCTGAAGGCTTCTTCTAATTCTGACCGATAATGATAATCATATAGTTAGAATGACTTGACTAATACATGTAGTGTTGTCCACTCGCTAATCTATTCCCTTTTTTTACTTCAGTGTTTATTCCAAATTTCTATCCTTATTCAGTTGCTTACTTAGGATGCCAAAATCGCTGTATATTTTGGTGGATGCCTCTATCAGGTATGTACACGATGTTTAACTTTTATCTACAGTATATGTTTGTGTATGTACAATTTGCGTGCGTCAGTTTCCTGTGTGTGTGTGTGTGTGTACACGTGTGTATACAAATTGCGAGTCATTTATGCACACATGACATTTAAAGTCGAATATGTTAGCTATACTAGTCTAACTTAGTCTAGTGGATGGGTAGGCTTATGACTAGGCTATTGATTTTCTCTATTTAGCTTATCATAATGAAATATCTGTTTTATGACCTACAGTTTATTTGATTTCACTCATTATTATTATGCTTATTTCATTCAGCATTGTCTCTATATGCATGTGTGTGTATGCATTACTTATATGCCATGTACATGTAAACTACATTCAAGATGAATGAAAGTATAAAAAATCACTAATGCGTATAGTATTCTTAAAAAATATAAGTTCCATAACCGGATGTTACTGCCTGGAATCTTAGCGATATGGTCTTTCTTTGAGTTTCTATCGTTTACCTTGTCTAATCTGCTACTTGAAGTCATTGAAAACTAGACAGTAGTCATAAACTTCGGTATTTTCCCCAGGATCTTTATGCACATTGATATCAAAGCATTTAAGTGACGAATCTCGAAATGATTATTAAAAGAATGGATACTGAACAAATAGTACTCTTTTCGATAAATTCATCATCAGGCTCTACAGTTATATATACATTATAGTGAATGAATTAGTGTTATGAACAACATAAATGTTTCAATAACATCGAATCAATAATATTGATAGATTACAGCTCAATAGCATCAACATAAAATAAGTTGAATGTCAGAAAAATTAGCAGGGATAATAATACAAATTCATGACTTTATGGTTTCTACTGAAGGCCGGCCAGGGCAGTAGTAGTGGCTAGACTTGCTTCTTTTGAACACAGAGTACTGGTTGTTTGAGGCGAATTGCAATAGCCTCTGGTGTTTGGAGGATGCGGTGGTTCGATGATTTTGGCACTTTATTTGGTACCCGGTAGATGATAGAGAAGGATTTTTCAATGCTGGCTGGCTTTGTGGCCGGCCGGTTTGGACCAGATGGTCCAACATCGAATTGCCTAGTGTTTACATTTCCTTCATTATTCATACACTGTGGATGATAAACACCTTAACTAACTCACAACTTTTTTGTTAACTGTTTATATTTTACCGTTACCTTGGAGGCTTTTCTGAGTTACCTTCATTAGTAAATCTAGTAAAACTGAAGGATAAGCTTGATAGTTTTGCCACATCTATGTGTATTTATCAATTCAACTGCACCTGCGATGACAGTTATGTTGGACGTACTATTAGACAGCTTAGCCGACGTGTTAGTGAACATCTCCCATCTTGGTTTGACAAAGGACAGACAAAAACAATCCATAGCTGAATTCTGTCACATTTAATTGATAGTGGTCATGTAGTGGAGAGAACGAGAGCCTTCAGAGCAATTCATCGTATCCCACCGAATCTTTCCAATAGACTTCGTATTCGTCTACTGCACACAGCTGAGGCAGGCGATAGGCATCGAATCTATTAAACCTAAACTATGCATTCAAAAAAGTTCGTACAGCCAATATCTCTCCCTTGGCCTACTAAGACATAACCAACTGATGACTTCTACACCACCCTTTGTTTATATTTTCAACCCCTTTCTTATCATCCCTTCATCTTATCACATCTTCATTATAAACGTGTTTCATTTACTTCCCTTACAATCAGTCTAACATTACTTAATCGGTTCATTTGTTTTTACTAGTCTTTATCGACTGCTTCCACCTGAACAATCGTTTGTTTAATCATACTGTTTTGCTTTATTCGTGTTATCACAGATTGCCTCATTTTTTCATCCTTATTACTGATAAGACCATTATTATTACTACTATCATTACTACTATTATGACTAATTGTACAGTTTATATTCACCATCGTATTATCCTATAGACAAAACACCATGATTGGTTTATATTTGAATTTTTATTTGTAAACTTATATATATTGGAGTGAAGCCTGATGAGATCTAATTGAAAACAGTATTGTTCGCTTAAATGAGTTGTTCTAAATTTTACTATGGGAATATTTAATATATAAAAACTGAATAGAAGTGGTATTCGCCACTTGTTTCTAAAAATTTTATAGGCACTATCATATCTCTCTTAGGATGCCATCAGGTAAATAAATGTATGTGAGGTGCCTGAAACATGTTGTTGGTCTGGTTAAAATCTGAGCTACTGTAAACTTCCATCTATGTATTGCATATAATTTCTCCTATTCGATCTGTTTGAATCTGGTAAAATATGACCTCTAATAGTAGTATTGTTTACTCTGGAGGATATTTAAAACATTCACAACCTGGTTTCAACTAAACATATGCAAAAGCATTATCCTCGACGGTAGCCTATCGCAGTACATGAGATGAGTGGTGTCTTTGGTTCATAAAATGTACTCCTGAACTTTCTCGAAAAAGAAAAAGAAGAGATATCGTCGTAATGGTTTGCTTTCCACTGACAGAACTACGTCACACTATCTGCTGTCAATTAATCTTTTTTTCTGAAGATCCTGGACGAAGAGAGAATATCATGCTATAAACCTCTGAAAATTCTGAACATTATGTTAAGCATTGTGTTCTGAATAAGGCTATTACTGGTTGTTTTTTTTCTGGAATCTACTGGACTGTAAATTTCCTATTTTCTTCTCATTCCTTTGCGTTTGGGGTGGAATGGGCTTCAAACTCTAGGCTTTGAAGTCTCACTAGCGTTTGTGTTATTTCTATGGGGGGTGGGGTGGGGGCTGCTAGTCTCACGCTCACCCTACCCCCTTTCCCGGGCTTATTACTTTCTATGCGAGGTTTGAGAGTCCATTAGACAGGAAGGGAAACCTGACCATGTGCCCGACTGGCAGACATTCTTCCCCTGAACTACCTATGCACTAAATCCCCCATTATATTGGTAATTCATCATGGTTTTGAATCCACTTAGCTTTCTTGAGTTTCAACTAACTTATGAACCGTAGATAGATAGATATCCTTTTGATATCTTCAACTTTCACTACAAACTGGAATAATAAAGAATCCAAATTATTTTGATTGAATTATTTGAGATTTTCACATAGTAGCTAGTTAACAGATTGATATTCTGGCTTTTAGTTTCACTTCTAATCTGATGTGCGTTTCTAAACTAAGAATTCGGAGATCAGCGTTTCTAATGTAATCACGCAGAGGCTGGATGATATATCACTGAGGTATGATTAATAGAGTATCCTAGATACTAAAAATATCAGTGACTAGAGTCTGTTGGTGGTGCGGAGCAAATGCTTTCATGCTTCAAAAACTTCGACATCCTGTAGACTATTCTCTTCTCTTATGCTGATTGCGAAATCCTACATAGATCCGCCAGTCAAAAGTGCAGTTGACCAGTAGCTGTGTTGCTGTTCAATATCTTATAACTTGCTACTTATAGTCGCTATTTTCACAACAAACGATGTGATGACATGTCAAATCAGGATGTAATTCAGTTAGAACTGACGGAATAAGTTCTATGTTTCGTAGTCGACCTGAGCACCCTATTACAAAATAGTTCATGATATCATGTCTTGCTATTCTAGCTTTTTTAAAACTTTAATTATCGTCATTTTTAAACTTTTAACTTCTGTTTCAGTAACTTCAATGCTTATCAGTGTATAAGACTGTACTAAGTCCAATGCTGTTAGTGCCTGTCTGTTGGATTTAGATTAGAAACCAAAGAAAGTGTATAAATTAAAGATTCGAGTAGTTTTATTATTATTATTTTTTGTCAGCTTGGAAACAGTTTTAAAACGTAGAATTAGTTTAAGTTGTTGTAGGTTTTCGAAGTGTAAATTATACATTTTGCTTACAGGATTCTTTTTTATAAAGCTTTATTCAAAAGTCGAAACAGCTTTGCTGTAGTATCATTTATCTTGTCTTTAGAAATATATATTCAACTCGGACTTGTGTTTTAAAGGTAACTACTGCTACAACACAGAAGTGTGTTCCTATATCATAAGACTAATCAGAAGTTTATTACAGTGAGATTGATCTCAGTCACTTTTATATGCACTTGTATTTTTGTTTGTTTGTTCCTCTTTGTTAATTGGAAAGTTTGACATTGATGTGTGCTTGTGTGTGTGTGTGTGATCTAAACTTGGGTTTACAGTTGTCTAGACACAAAAGGTATGCACTTGTTCACATCAATCTCGGTCAGTTTTCTTAATAAACTAATTCAAATAAGAAATTCACTCAAATTTATCAGGTGAGCTGAATTTAGCTTTTAAGGAACAACAGATACAGATATGAAAAAAACCCTGTGAATAATCATTAATTATTGAAAGTTCTGGAAGGCATTTGTATACTGCTTGTAACTGTAAATTATCCCGAAGAAACTAAACATTCATTACTGGTTAGTGATCCACAACGGAAAACTCAGCGAGCCGTTTGGTTGTGTTCTGCCAGTGTATGTGAAAATGTTCGAACATACAATGCATTAATTCTTTGTATTTCACTATTGTAATAACGGTTCAAGGCGGAAATCTAATCAATAAGAGTATAACTGCTTCAAACTATACATATGTATACGAGATGTTCATCCAATATACATTTGTACACTCGACTATGGTTGATATAATTGGGTTCGCTAACTAAACAACTACTAACAATAAACTTCATGTGTTTCCCCTGGTTTTGTAGTTAGATCGAATTATCATAATCTTGAGTTATTGAGACATCTTATTAGCGTAGGGTGTGATAAATTCCACCTGTGTAACCAGCGTTTGGAAATTGTGTCTTTTAAAACAGAAGATATCATATTAAGAAGTTGAAGTGTTTGTTTGTTGGATAAAAGTTTCGCCAAGACCTTGTCACATTTTCATAAGAATTGATTTTAATCACAGCTTTCTTCGTTCAAAAGAGACCTTGGTATGCAGTAGAAACTTAACAGTTTAGGAGTGTTACTTATCTATAACAACCATTAGATTTGAACGCTGAGCTGAAGAGTTCCAGACTAGGACGAAACATCTGTGCAGTACTCCCTGGTTGGTTTTCCAATGTCAGCTCATGTTGAAATCCTCCAACTAATCAAACAAAAATCCCTACAAAATTAATACTTGAAAACAAATTATACCTTAGACTATTTTCATGATTCCAGTGATTGATGTTTCCACTGCATCGAACTAATGTATACTTTGGGGTTTCCGTTGACCAACCAACCTACGATTTCGAATATCCTGCACTCTCTGTAGCATATTAATCACCAATGTGCATAAGTCTGTCAGTACTGCTTCAAGCTATTATCAACACAATTTGAAGTACATATACAGCTGTTAACCTTAATACAACTTTGTGCTGAAATAGTAACATTGATAATAACTATTATTCTGTGAAATATTTCAATGTTGTTCATTCAGAAGGCGTCATCAAGTTTTGAAATGGTCATAGCAACGATAATCATAAAAGTCCGATCCTGGCATAACTCGAATTTCCTCTGGATTTCATCTGCTGCCTCATTATTATTATCTTCATATATTTATTCCCCTTTATGAATTTGAATAAAGCAAGAACAACAGTGGTTTGTGCAGAATGAAGTGATACCATCATTTATTTCACTGGCTGCTCATCAACTGCTTACAGCCTAAAAACTACTAAGTTTGTGTACAGAAACAGTTTTAACATACTTGTAATTTTCACATGATATCAGTTGATAGAGAATATGAGTTCAAACAAAAAATCAGTGTAAGCATACAATGGCAAGGGAGTTACGTAACAAAGACAACAGGTTAACTCCAAAGATAACGCGATCAAATGAAAGAGATAATAAAGACATCCAGTTACTAGGGCAAGGAAAGACTGATAACTGTTTCTTTCTAAGCACATAAATCGGGTTTTAGGCGTTTGATAGAAATTGTTTCAGCAAACTACTTTGTCTATTGATAATTCCAAAGTATTTTGATATGTCCACCTCATGACCCGCATCAAGGAGATGCCTGGCAATGGCGCTATTGAAAGCGTTTGTTTCATCGAGACATAGGTCTTGTGGTACACGTTCAGCAAATTGGAGGCGTGGCCTTCTTTCTCCTCTCCCGATGTAACTGCTCCCCAGATACGTGCAAATTTGCATACACAGTTGGAATTAACATGAGAAAGTTTGGCTTTTGATTGCACCGAAGGGCATGTTGCTTCTGTATATAAACTTAATAATGTCTTTAGGTTGTAACCAGCTGATGAGAAACCAACAAAATAAACGGTGGTACTATATTATTCTTCACAAACTATTGTTTTTGCTTTATTCAAAGCCCTATTAATTATACAAACATAATTCCGTTTGCATGATGAGACTCTGTCTACCAGCCGATGTAGTGATCATAGTAGGGGAAGCATTACATATCACTCACCCAAATCACATAGCCAGCTGCAGGATATCGTGGCTAATAACCTGGAGGCCGTTAACCAACTTTTCACCAATAAGACTGTTATACATCCTTTTATGTATCATTAAAATGCGAAATGTAATTAGTAGGATTGTGTGATTACCCTCATATTCTTAGGTTAAGAACTTTCAATCAGCTTCAGGTAGACAGTGAGAAGCGTTTAAGGTATCATTTGGAGACTATTATTGGTTTGGGTTATGGGATGGTGTGATGAAAAGGAAAGATTAGCTAGCTGTCCCCAATGTATTACTTTCCATCTGCATCAGGGAAATTTTAATAACCATAACTTTGTAGTAATTCTGTGTACCTAATTTCACCAACTGTTTCTATACTTTATCATACACAAGTTATAATTTAAAACTAGGTGTCTTTATGCTACCATCGTAGCGATAATGCTTTAAAAGCATATACACACTTCAATAGGCACTTTTAACACTTGAATTATGCTGGTTGATTTAAGGATTTTCTTTTTTTTAAATATTTATTTATACTTGAATTATGATTTGATGTTTTTCCATTGTATTCATTGCCTTGTGACCTGCAAATCCTCCAATATTACTTACTGCTGCTTAGTCATCGCTACAGACATATATATATTTAATATATATATTGATATTTTAATCAAGTGGTGTGTATGTTGATTCACCAGCCATACC